TTCTGTGTCTGTGTTAATTGGTTTCCCTTTTCTTTGTTGAAGAGGGTCTGTGCAATCCTTCTGCCTAGTCCGCCATCTTGCCCCGCCTCTTAAAGCAATATTTTTAAGCAATACTTCTACATCCCTCCTTTTTTTCCTCTTAAGGAGCTCTGGTGGTGTAGTACCTAAGACATTTGACTACTAAACTGAAGGCTAGAGGTTCAAACTACCCAGCCACTCCACGGAAGGAAGACTGGGCAATCTACTTCTGTAAAGATTTACTGTCTTGGAAACCCAAAAGGGGTCACTATGAGTTGGAATCGACTTGATGGCAGTGAGTTTGGTTTTTATTTTCTGTTAATTGAGTAAAAAGCTTTCAATTTCAGTGCCTTGTTAGTAATATGTAAGTTATCCCTGTATAAGAATATTCCACCCAAAGACACTTTTTTTGGCCTGGATAACTTTATGTGAAACTATTGAATATATTCAATTTCCACAGGACATTTTTTTTGTCATATTAAAAATACCACACAGGTAACTCTTTGCCCCTCCCTTCCTACCTGTGCCACACTATTGTCTTCCATCAAATGACTGAGAATCTAGATGAAAATCCTAGATTTATGTTTCTATAGAGAAAAAGGAAGTGAGGGAGAAGTGTAAGTGTCAACATCTTTCTTACCTATGACAACCAGGGGCTTTCCCGAAGTCCTGTAGGGATTGGGCAAGAAGAAGAGGAGCAAAAACTTGGTCATTATATCATTAAAATGTCTGTAACTGTGAATTATTATATTAACTATTAACCTATTTGCATTTTTATCATTTATCCCAGGAAAGTGCAGATAACATACTCTCCATTGTTAAACAAAGAACAGGATCTTTTGGGGATCGTCCTGCAAGACCTACTCTTTTAGAACAAGTATTAAATCAAAAAAGACTGGTAAATATCTGTTCGTAAAGTATTTATAAATGGAACTATTTAGATTGTTGAGATTTTAAAACTTGTTAAACTGGTCATCAGAATTGGATTATGCCTCTTTGCCAACGCACACTGGAATCTCAATCTCTCAAGACTATGAGCAGGGGCACTTTTAATCTTATTTCTTCATCGACTACAACTTAACTATCTGAGCAAGATGGGATTTTGAAACACTGTCCTTATACTGAATTCTGAGATAGGTTGAGTAATTCTTTAATGGTATTGAGGTATAATTTAATTAGGATCTCTGTAGTATATTTGATAGAAGACATTAGAATTGAATCAGGAAAGGAGAGATTATTCAATAAAAAATAGAATAATTGGGTAATAATTTGAGGGAAAAAAACAATTTAGTTCATCACATCATAATATACATCATTTTAAATTCCTGAGAGAAAGAATTTTAATTTTTTTTCAAAAAAGGGACAAAGTAGAATTGGGGCTTTAAATATCTCAAAAATCTGAAATGAGAATCTTCTGTCTTAAAAGAAATAGAGAAAACCACAACGAAAAGATTAAAAATTTGATTACATGAAAATTAATAGTATATGTCATTGGTGGCAAAAATAAAAATGCAAAATAACATAGGAAAAATATTTGCAACAAATATAAAAAACAATGGTTAATATGGTTGATGATTTTATTATATATATAAATAGATAAGGCAAAAATGTTGGCCTCCAAACATTTCAAAAGATATATATAGGGGAAATAATTGGAGGACATTTTCTTTGTTGGTTACCAGGGGTGGGAGGG